TGCAATGGACCTGGTAGTGGAGAAACGGTCCCTTAAGGCCAATAATCTTAGGCGGCGATCTTCACGGTCTGCTGTTCTACGGCGGCGTCCAGTGCCCCTTGCTCTTTGCGTACGGCCTTCTCGAAGCCATGCCTGACAACACCTAACCACAGTGTCTACACTTCTTTGCACTCTAACTGCAATTGCCCGAAAAGAAAGTCCAGCTTCCCGAAGTCCCACTATACGGCCCCTATCAAACTCACTAAGTTGACGAAATCGTACAGGTCTCCGTACTCTAGCCATCGTAACCGATCGTAAAGGATGTCAAGAACCAAAATCCGCCAACGTTGATTCTTTACTGCGGCTGAAATATTCATTTTTAGAGCGTGAATTAAAAAAAGCAGTATAAAAACCGGAATGTCCAACTGATAAGGCTGAACATTTTTTCACTTGCTATTTACAGTAAGATAAATACATTCACTAACTTTTATTAAAATAAAACCATTTAAACTGGGTGTTCGGATTTATATGTCACTTAGTATAGATGTTCAGTTAAACCGAGACAACTCCATGTTTCGTCTTAAATTTGTTTACACCACGTGCACTGTAAGACGCTTGCAAATGGACTGAATGCGGTGACTTACTAATAAAGGTCTGCTCTTTTTAATAGTTCATTGTTGCCGGTTTTAACTAGTATAGTGCGCATCTCAAAATGTTTCGCTATTACAATACTTCCTAGCTTTCTGTGGCGTGGGTAGTAATTGCGGTGAAATGTTTTTCTCTGAGTGTAGTGACTAACTGACCGACACCGGGCCGATTTAGTGAATTAGTGACGTCGCCGTCAACCGACAACGACGTAAGAATCGCGGCTGGGGCACGGGACAACAGCGGGAAGGGGGAAGATCTCCTTCTCCGCACTAAATAAACCCACACGGAGAAGGATAGGGAATTAGTACGGCGCGACCGTTGCCTTCAGCCTGTCTATGCTAATCTTGTTAGGTTAAGAAGGTTTCTGCATATTAGAGGGCTTAGAAGGAGCAACCTAGACCTAGCCCCGCGTCTTAAGGATTAGTTCAGTCGACTTGAGCTCATTTGAATAGATGCCGAACAAAAGAAAGTATGTCACGTCATTCGCGGTAAATCCCAACACTCTGACGAAGGCTTGCCCTGCTGATCGCGGTTGTTGTGTGGAAAAAATATAAGACTGTACGCACAGCCTCGAATTAATGGCTGGGGCGCGTTTGTAAATCACATGGTAATGTAGTACCGTGAACAGTTACGGAATGTAGATTGACAGATCAAATTTTACTCAGGAACACTGTGAAACTTTATTGTTAGACCGCCTAAATTATGAAAGAATCATGTAATCACACTTGATGACAGCGCCGACTAGTTTCTAACCACGTTTTTTGCGACCATTGTAATCATTATAAGAGACCCTAGGGATTCGGGGTAGCTTTTTAATAAACAAACAATGCGCCATGAGAATGACAAGTGACAGAACTCTTTTTCCCAAGGTTTTGAGCTCGGGAAGAAAAAAGCACACTTTTCCCGTTTCACAAGGATTACGTTGTTCTATTTCCGAACGCAAGTAACATGCACGTCAAAACAATTACGAACGCTAAAATTGTTACAGAGGAGTACAAAGTCCACTCTGTAACAATTTACGAACGCAGCCCTGTATATCCTGTAAGATGTGCAAAATGTCATAGTACAGGATAAAAATGATAAAATCTTAATAAACAGGGTGTCCCAAAATAGCATGCCATTCTTTCGTATACAGGATGTTGGGGAAATAATATTTGTAACTTTAAGAGGTGATTCCTTGCATTATCCTAAGCAAAAAAGTTCATTATAACTTATGTCCGAAAATCAATCGTTTTCGAGGAAAGTGAGTCGTAATTAATTAAATTTTTTCAAACATTTGGCAACGCTGCAACGCAACTGCGATCGAGCGCACGATGACCGCAACTGATTTATCGAATTGTTTACGTTTGTATATTTTTGGTGAAAATATGCCTTGAATTAGTGAATACCTTTACGCAATTTTTCGTGGCTCATATTTTTTAGATAAAAGCTAGTGTCAGTTTAGGCTAACTTTTGCAAACTGTTGGAAAATACCACCGTATATACTGCCATATTATTGCAGGTGGTCGGTAGCGGTTATTCAACTTTTTTGAATTTATCCTTTGAGAGCACTTTAAATACCCTTCAAATGCCTTTCTAGAAACAAACTAATCTCTGATTTTCTGGACGACTGCAAACTATTTATGTGGCATGCGGCTGGACTTGAAAATCCTGCACTTATTTTGAAATAGTCCTTGAAGTGACCTTGATGCCTTCTTAGTGACTAACTGACCCTTGATTCGGACTTATCCAGAAAAATCTAAGTGACACGCAGTTGAGCGCAACTTTTCGGCTTCTTTCAAAGATGTCAGTGACGAGACACTGAGATAACCTTGAAGTGACCTTCAAGCGCTCTCATAGATACAACTAACCACATATTTGAAATCAGCGACCCAAAAGAGCATGTTGTACTGAAAATCGTATAAATACCTTAGTGTTCTTTTTGACAGCTTTTCGGTGTTCTAGAGTTCTAGGCTACTGTGCGACGAGCGCAACATTTGTCACCGAGTGACGCCATCCGCAGAGGGGTACGAAATTCGGTCGCGAACTAAACATATCTACTCGAGCTATAGTATCATGATCGGAAGTCGCGGATAGTGAAAGCATGTCAATGGCTAAACTCACTCTGTTGAGACAAACTTCAGCATGACATTAGCTATCGATCCTTTAAAATTAATTGAAATACACTCCATTCATCCTCATATCTAATCTACCCCATTATATCGTTAGAAGCGGAAAAAGACGTCCTGGCGGTCGGTCGGCTCAAAGCCAAAGGCATTCTGAAGGTGTCATTTTGGATGTGCCCGCCTCATCTCGCTACCCGCCCCTTTTGACAATAATCGAAACTCGAACATCGCATTGTGATCATCTACCCCATTTGATGCGCACCATCTTACCACTTATCTTTCCATCAGTTGGAATTTCTGACGGATCATTTAGTTGCCGCGATACACGCCTGGGGGTGGAGTGTTATCTAACCTCTTTTACAGCTTTTAAATGCCATTTTAGCTTTTACTCGCGACTTTTGCTGATGTCTGTTATTACTTTCTGATATCTATAGCTTTTCTTGAGCTCATTGCCTTGGGGTGTTCATATTTTATCAATTTATTTACTTGTTGATATATTTATATTATCGGTTAACTACACTGATAAACACAGGATTTGTGACATGACAATTTTTGGTTGTATCGTATGTATTTTGAGGCCCTTCAAAACAGAATTTTTCTATCACCCACAAATATTTGGTAACATCTACTTTTATCAGTTACAATACGTAACATCTCATATTGTTGCATTTCTCGGCGTTTATGCGATGATGCACATATACAATGTTAAGACCTGTCTATTCCTGTTTATTATATGCGAGCTCTATGTTTAGAGATCATATTGCGTTTATTAGTAGACTAACAGCAGCCGAGTCAGTTACGTTTTCTGTGTTGAAGGGTACTGTTAATTTTTGTTAAAACGGTGTGTTGTTTTTAGTTTATTGTGATCAAGACTAGCTTTATGGACAATGCCTAGAAATTGTGTAAATAGTGCGAATAGTTTTTGTTATATGTGCGGAGAGCTAACTTTTAAATCCCAAAAACGTACTTTTACTCCCCTTGTGTTGAAAGCATACGAGCTTTATTTTGGAATTAAAGTTGTCGATCAAGATAAACTATGGGCCCCTCATATATGTTTCGTGTAACGTTGTTAACAGGTTGGTTAAGAGGCGACAATCGTAAAAGGCCCTTTGCGGTACAAATGGTTTGGAGAGAACCGAGAGACCATACTACTGATTGCTATATTAAAGGTATTGGACCAAAATCGAAACATACTGTTAGGTATTTTAATTTACCATCAGCTTCGCGGCTCGTTAAGCATAGTGATGAACGTTCTGTTCCAGTTCCACCAGAATCTTGGTCTTTGGATGAAAAAGTCGAATCCACCGATTCTGAAAGTGATGGTACAGAAAGCGTAAAAATTTCCAATCCTTCGTTTGACCTGCCAGGATGTTCAACAGCGCCGCATTTGATCACACAGGGTAAACTTAATGACTTAGTTCGAGAATTAAATCTGTCAAAATCCCAGTCAGAACTTTTACCGTCAAGATTACAAGGATGGAATCTTCTCCACGGTGATGTTAACATTACTTTTTACCAAAAACGGCAACAAGACCTCACACACTGTTTACGTCAAGAAAGGGAGTTAATACTCGTATATCGCTCCGATGTCAACAGTTTGTTTCACGCCTTAGGACAGAAGCATGATCCAAATGATTGGTGCCTGTTCATTGATTCCTCTAAGCTTAGTTTAAAAGCGGTATTGGTACACAACGGTAATAAATATCCATCTGTACCTATAGCGCACGCAGTTCGTATGATGGAATCATACGAAAATATGAGAGTTCTGTTAGAGCATATCCGCTATAATGAATATGGATGGGCCATATGTGCAGATTGAGAGGTAATAGCCCTTCTTCTTGGAATGCAACTGGGATATACCAAATATTGTTGTTTTCTTTGTGAATGGGACAGTCGCACAGTGGGGCAGAATCCCAAACAGCTGGCCAAAATTCAGAAAATGTCGTAAATGATCTCAAATTATCTTCTCGGAGGTTTTTGGGGTCGCTGAATATGAATCTTTTATCAAAATTACGATTTTCAAAATGGCGGACCCAAAATGGCGGACATAATTTAACCAATTAGTCAAATAATCCAGTAAAAATACCCAATTGTATTTGTTTATGGTTTTTGGAATCGCTGATTACGAATTGGTTATCAAAATATATATGGAGGATTCCGCAAAAATTTTTAATTTTTTAATATTTTTAAATAGAAGATATTTCATAATATTTTTCAGTTTTAATGAGTAAAAAATCTTTCGAGCAATGTTTCTTATTTATCAAGAATTTTTTTTATAAACAATTTGCAGCAAAATGAATATCTGTTATTTACTTATAGTAACAAAAATCTTGTACGTCATCTTCAATGTTCGAAACATTCGATTCGGATTCTGATGTTGACCTACTTGTATCTAAATCGGAATCGTTCCTTGTCTCTTTTCTGGTGACTTCAGGTTGTTTTAACAACTGTAGAGCTTCTTGATGTAAAGATTTCGCCGGTCTCTGGGGCAATTTCCTGATGCTTGAGAGAAATAGAATGTTACTAAGAGCCTGTTGAAATCTCTCAAATTCGACTCTCTAGAGCATTTTCTTGCATTATTTAATCTGTACTTCTTCAGTCTTTATTGCGTGACTCTTGGGCCTCTTCAGAAAGTTGTCCGATCGGTAATAATCAATGCATTACAGTCACCCGTCCATTAATGTCGCGCCACGTATTTCTCCCTAAAAATTAGTCCGTTGAGCACTCCTGAGCTGCCAGATTTTTACTGTATTATATTTCATACTATACAACAAGATCGAGACTTGTGAAGACATTTTTAAACCTACTTTAGAAAATCGATTTTAGAAAAAAAATTTACAGTTGTTTATGTTTATTTGTTGTAAAATTTAAATATTCCAAACATAAAATAAGCAACAACTGTGCATAAGTATATATTCTGCATACCTTCAGAAAGTGATTCCATTTTGCACAATTCAAATTGAGATAGTTTCGTCTGTTTTATAGTACTTCGAAACAGGTCAGAATTTTTCGACGTGTACACATGCTTAGTGCGTACCGAACGACGGCTGAATGTCGACTGATGTCAAGGCGACCCTAGAGCAAGTATATACCTGCCCTGTCCATAATTTCATTCTAACTAACTATTCGTTGAGCACTCCTGAGCATCCAGATTTTTACTATATTATAATTCATACTATACACTATCACTTCCTTGTCGAAACAAGATCGAGACTCGTGAAGACATTTTTAAAACTACTTTAGAAAATCGATTTTAGAAAAAAAATGTACAATTGTTTATGTTTATTTGTTGTAAAATTTAAATATTCCAAACATAAAATAAGCAACAACTGTGCATAACTATATATTCTGCATACCTTCAGAAAGTGATTCCATTTTGCACAATTCAAATTGAGATAGTTTCGTCTGTTTTATAGTACTTCGAAACAGGCCAGATTTTTCGACCTGTACAGACACATGCTTAGTGCGTACCGAACGACGGCTCAATGTCGACTAATGTCAAGGCGACCCTAGAGCAAGTACATATATACCTGCCCTGTCCATAATTTCATTCTAACTAACTATTCGTTGAGCACTCCTGAGCAACCAGATTTTTACTATATTATATTTCATACTATACACTATCACTTCCTTGTCGAAACAAGATCGACACTCGTGAAGAAATTTTTAAAACTACTTTAGAAAATCGATTTTAGAAAAAAAATGTACAATTGTTTATGTTTATTTGTTGTAAAATTTAAATATTCCAAACATAAAATAAGCAACAACTGTGCATAACTGTATATTCTGCATACCTTCAGAAAGTGATTCCATTTTGCACAATTCAAATTGAGATAGTTTCGTCTGTTTTATAGTACTTCGAAACAGGCCAGAATTTTTCGACCTGTACACATGCTTAGTGCGTACCGAACGACGGCTGAATGTCGACTGATGTCAAGGCGACCCTAGAGCAAGTATATACCTGCCCTGTCCATAATTTCATTCTAACTAACTATTCGTTGAGCACTCCTGAGCAACCAGATTTTTACTATATTATATTTCATACTATACACTATCACTTCCTTGTCGAAACAAGATCGAGACTAGTGAAGAAATTTTTAAAACTACTTTAGAAGATCGATTTTAGAAAAAAAATGTACAATTGTTTATGTTTATTTGTTGTAAAATTTAAATATTCCAAACATAAAATAAGCAACAACTGTGCATAACTATATATTCTGCATACCTTCAGAAAGTGATTCCATTTTGCACAATTCAAATTGAGATAGTTTCGTCTGTTTTATAGTACTTCGAAACAGGCCAGAATTTTTCGACCTGTACACATGCTTAGTGCGTACCGAACGACGGCTGAATGTCGACTGATGTCAAGGCGACCCTAGAGCAAGTATATACCTGCCCTGTCCATAATTTCATTCTAACTAACTATTCGTTGAGCACTCCTGAGCAACCAGATTTTTACTATATTATATTTCATACTATACACTATCACTTCCTTGTCGAAACAAGATCGACACTCGTGAAGAAATTTTTAAAACTACTTTAGAAAATCGATTTTAGAAAAAAAATGTACAATTGTTTATGTTTATTTGTTGTAAAATTTAAATATTCCAAACATAAAATAAGCAACAACTGTGCATAACTATATATTCTGCATACCTTCAGAAAGTGATTCCATTTTGCACAATTCAAATTGAGATAGTTTCGTCTGTTTTATAGTACTTCGAAACAGGCCAGAATTTTTCAACCTGTACACATGCTTAGAGCGTACCGAACGACGGCTGAATGTCGACTGATGTCAAGGCGACCCTTGAGCAAGTATATACCTGCCCTGTCCATAATTTCATTCTAACTAACTATTCGTTGAGCACTCCTGAGCAACCAGATTTTTACTATATTATATTTCATACTATACACTATCACTTCCTTGTCGAAACAAGATCGAGACTAGTGAAGAAATTTTTAAAACTACTTTAGAAAATCGATTTTAGAAAAAAAATGTACAATTGTTTATGTTTATTTGTTGTAAAATTTAAATATTCCAAATATAAAATAAGCAACAACTGTGCATAACTATATATTCTGCATACCTTTAGAAAGTGATTCCCTTTTGCACAATTCAAATTGAGATAGTTTCGTCTGTTTTATAGTACTTCGAAACAGGCCAGAATTTTTCGACCTGTACACATGCTTAGTGCGTACCGAACGACGGCTGAATGTCGACTGATGTCCAGGCGACCCTAGAGCAAGTATATACCTGCCCTGTCCAGAATTTCATTCTAGGACTATCCGTAAACAAGATCTACATGTGAATAGACGAATATATACAACTAAAACATTTGATTTTTGGCCAGCTTTTTAGGATTCTGCCCCACTATGAGTCGGAGTGGCCACTACGTCAGCTATTAACTGCGGGCCTCAAAAACATTGCTCATGAACCACTAGTTGATCCCGTTGAATACGTGTTGCTTCCTCCTTTGCATATTAAGGTGGGACTGATGAAAAATTTTGTAAAAGCTATGGATCGAAATGAAAGAGGCTTTCTGCATATAAAACAAACATTTCCGATACTTAGTGAGGCGAAAATTAAAGAGGGCATATTTGTGGGTCCACATATATGGAAAATCATAAAGGATGATGTATTTGACAGTGCTCTGAATGAAACTGAATTACGAGCTTGGAATGCTTTTAAATCAGTTGCTGAAAATTTTTTAGGCAATGTGAAGGCGGACAATTATGAAGATATTGTGAGTGAACTAAGTAATGCTTATAAATGAATGGGATGTAACATTATTGCTGGACATTGTTAAGAGATACTTCAGGAGCAACATATCGCCGTAAAACATCGACAACAACATTCTGAGATTAATGTTTATTCGAGTTTTTATTAGTACTCTTACACACATATCCTTATATTTTACGAGTACAAGCGGCAAATAAAACGCCTTACTGCAAGAAAAACGTGGGTGATGGAAAAAATCGAATGCTATTTGGATACGTTTTACATAATAACCACCTTGTTTTGTCCATGTCACAGAAAATTATTTTAATTTTGTTCACCAGTGATATCAGCAATACTGTGTTGAACAGCACAACTATATGGAAATACACGCACTTTTACGTGTTGTCGAAAAAAAAAAACCGAATTTATTGTGAAATGTCAACAACTGTCAAACAGGTGGCTTAAGCTTGATCGATTTGTAGCAGTTGTATCCTGGCTACTCACTATCGATATGCTGGATAAAAACAAAACGGTTGTTCCTCTTACCCGGTCCGGAGTTCTGTTGTATTGCAACCCTTTTGATAAAAACGTTCTGTGTTTAGTGACTGTAATCGGCAATCGGGCTTAGCGTAAGCCCTTTCGTGGGCTGAGCCAGAGCATCGCGGGAGCGAACGTGAAGTGGGGCACCCTGTAAAGAGCCACCGGATTTGTGGAAGAAGCTCGACCCAGGAGTGCCGTTCTTTGTCGAGGAATTAAGATTTTTTCATAATCCGTAATGAGTGGCCGAACAGAATCTGACGTACTCCGACCACACGGACGTATCTCAGGAGCAGTTTTAAGGGTACAAGATTCGTGGAATGTTGTTTAACCCTTTCCAACCCACTGATATCCATCTACGATTACCACCAATTCATAGTCTATTTACTTGGCACATGATAGTGTTGTCAGGATAACTGGTTGCGTCAGATATTGGGAACAGCAGGTATAACCACATGCACCTTATGAAAACGTTCAACTAATGTTTTGGTGAACTCCATCAAATAATAGGACGTGCTATAATAATTCGTTTGTATCTCACTGTAATATAGGTATAGTACGAAAATGAGAAGAACCTTAATTATATTGGAATATCTGTAAAGAGCATATCCTGCAGGATAAGAGTCAAACACGTACAGTCCCCTGCTTGGAGACGCAACAATCTGGTACAGTTTAATGCTTCCAAAATGCAGTACTGCAACTTGACTAATAAGAAGCGCCCTAGCGCTCACCAAGTTTCAATGAATGACCGAGTGCTGCCAAAGAGCCATTCACTTCGGCTGGTAGGAGTCCAGATCACTGAGGACTTGATCTGTCACGAACACATCTCGTCAATAGCTTCAGCTCCTGGAAAATTTGTTTGGAGCTGAAAATTACTTTTCTCCACATGACCTCCTCACTATGTACAAGGCCTAGATAAGACCTAGCCTAGAGTACTGCTCACATGTTTGGGGTGCTGCCGCCCCGACGACATTATCCGTGCTTGATGCTTTTCAGAGAAGGGCTGTTCGACTGATGGAAGACTGTTCTTCTTCAAAGGACAGTCACTATTTCCGCGAAAATATTATATTTCTCTTTACTTTTTCTGCTAAAATATTCTTTTAAACCCAAAATTACTATTTTGCAACATTTTCTGTTTTCTTAGATTATTTCATCTCTCATTTATTTAACTTAAAAACATTTTTTTTTTCAATTTTCATCATAAATTTTGTTAAGAAGACTCTGACCTATTAAGTTCAATATAGTTGACGTTTGGAAAAAAAACTGAATTTGAAAGGAGTGTTTTCTATAAAGATGAAGTGAATAATGGTTAATTCTAGAGATACAGGGTCTTAAATGTTTAAAAAAATATCGTTTCTTCGTCATAAGATTTTTGAGACTACAGCTATTTTTATTAAAATTGATTCACATCTTTATTATAGGAAAACACTGTTCATTTGGTGGGATCTATAACATACTCAGTTTTTCTAAAGCTCTGAGCATTTTGATTTAAGGTCCACAAAACCTGCAGAAATGTGCGAATTTCTCGAAAACCACCATACCTTATTTTAACAGGAGGAAATTAGTTTTTTTAAAACAAAAAGGTAAAAAAACGATTCTGAGAAAAAAGTTATTAAACACCCGGGTATCAATTTTTGAAGTGATACATTGAGAAATGTTCATGAATTAAACAAATGATTTTTATTTTCTAACTTCACCACCCTGTATCTCAGAATCGGAGCAATTTTGGACAAAGGTCACTTCAAATCGGCTTTTTGAACTCGGGAATATGTGCAAAAATTTTGTAAATACATGTTATGGACGCCATGTATAGTGGCGCCATCTTCAATTACTGACATTTGGAAATTTTTTCTATAATTTTTTAAAGAGAAATTCTGTAGCTTTCTAATGAGGTATGGCTCATAAAAATCGGTTTACCAGTAACAAAATTAGAAATCTTGATACTGGTACCCTCTCGCCGTCGGTGATCTAGGTCTCTTCTACCGCTACTCCAAAGGGGTTTGCTCCTCAGAGCTCTTATCCATGATGCCGCCGCGCGATGTTGTTTCCAGACAAACCGGCTTCCCATCCTAACCGTGTCGAACTTCGTACACCCAGAACTGGCCGATACGACCGCTCCCTTGGCACTAGGGCAAAATTGTGGAAAACCTACTTGAGGAGGTTCCCAGTTCTATTACCTTAGGCGGTTCAAAAATCGGAAATTTTTTTTCAAGCTCCTCATAGCAGCCGCGGTGCCCTGGTATTTAGGCTTCTGCCTACGCGCCTGCCTCGGTATGAAAAAACTGCGCATAGGTTGTTTTTTTTACACTAAATTACGAGAACACAGCAAAAAAATTACTATTTTTTATGGTTACTGACGTATAAGCGCATACAGATTTTATTGAAAAACAGTGAAATGAATATTAGCCGATTAACTATTTTTGCCATTCAAAACCTTACCCATACGCATTATTCCTTGACAGTACATTTCTAAATATAAATCAACTTATGTAGGGCTAAAGTGCGCCTATGCCCTTTGGGTCGCTGCACGTAAAAACCCGTCCATCTAAAACAATGGAATGTATGCCTCACTGCGCTCCAGTCTCGTGCACTTGTCGGCATAATCCTGATTGTGGTGACATTGACTTTAACCAAACTTTATCTTATTGGCAAAGACGAATATTAGTAGTGAGTCGCAAAGCCTCTACGCGACGTCTGGCTCAAAAAGAGGATTCACCTGGATAAAATAAATACTCTGCTTCATCTACGTTGTAGCTGGTCCTTTTTGAAGGAAACTTCATTATTGATGTTTTCCTTTCGAATAAAATGGATACGTTGCCTAAGAGCAGACAAATACGTTTTTCACATGCATGAGCCAGGGGCGCATCAGAACGGAGACAACTTACTGTGCATTGTATGGATGAAACATCCAAACAGCTCGAAAACTTGGCTACCGTATGATCAATATACAGGGTGTTCCTTAATCATATGCGAATATTTAAGGGTGTGAATCTACGTGAAAAATTAATGTTAGTTTGCTATGGTCCAAAAATGTTTCCTTACAAAAACTCGGGGTGTTGAAGTTTTAGAAAAAAAATGGATCGATGCGCCATGTTTGAGTAAAAAAATAAAAACCGTTTTATTGTCCGAGAAAATTAGTGTAATAATTGAAGAATGCAATTTAACAATAAATATCTAGTTGCTCTTGAATATGTCACTGGCTTTTGACATCTGTTATTCAAATCTGTTCACTGTGGCATCTTTTTCATTATTTAGTTTTTACAATCTTGTTAATAATGGTGACTTATTCAAATGCAGAAATGGCGGAAAAGCATTACGTATGTGGCCTTGCCGTCGGTAATGGTGAGCAAGCCAGACGGATTTATCACCAGAGTTATCCCGATCGTGCTTTGCCAGATAGTCGAACCTTTTCTAATATTCATCATCGTCTTATTGAAACTGGTTCTGTTCGAAAAGGAACATCTGAAGGTAGACCTCTAAGTGTGAGAACACCTGAAATTGAGGAAGCAGTGCTGCACGAAGTCGAAGAACATCCTGAAACGAGTACGAGGAAGATCGCTAGACACTTAAATATTTGCCATCAAATTTTTTGGAGAATTTAGTGGATTTTTTGTTATATCCTTACCTTATTTTAAGAGTACAGGCATTACTTCCCATTGATTCTCCAAGGCTTGTGAGCTTTTGTCAGTGGTATCTTCAAAAAATTACACAAAATCCGCAATTTGAATCAATGATTCTGTTCACGGACGAAGATAATTTTTCTCGAAGTGCCATTCACAATTTCCACATTAATAATTTGTGGGCAGAAGAAAATCCCTATGCCGTAACCGAAATCCATTTCCAACACCAATTTTCGATTAATGTATGGGCAGGAATTATTGGCAACTACTTTATTGGCCCATTCTTCTTGCCGCGACGACTTGGCGGACATACTTACCTCAAGTTTCTCCAACAACAGTTGCCTTTGCTGCTTGATGATGTTCCGTTAGTGATAAGAAACAATATGTGGTACATGCATGATGGTGCACCAGCGCATTTCAGTGTAGCGGTGCGTAATTATTTACAAACTGTTTATCCAAATCGTTGGACTGGCCGCGGTGGGCCCCAAGAATAGCCACCAAGGTCCCCAGACCTCAACAGTTTAGATTTCTTTTTGTGGGGCTATCTTAGGACACTAGTGTACACAAGTCCCATTAAAAGTGTAGAGAAATTAAGAGAAAGAATAGTTGCACCTTGTGATAGAATAAAAAACACTCCAGGGATATTTCAACGAGTGCGCGATTCCATGAGAAGGAGGGCGGAAGCATGCATACTACGTGAAAATTACCGTTTTCAACAATTTTTGTAATCTTTTCGTTGGTTTTAATGTTATGTTTATGTTGTTAGTTGTTGTTGTTCGTTACCCATAATGTGTTTAATTTTTCCAATTAAATTAATATTAATTTTGCAAGTTAGACAATAGAACGGTTTTTATTTTTTTACTCAAAAATGGCGCATCCCGTACGCACGCCACTGTTAAAGCTAAAAATTATTTTTGGATTGGAAAATATACAACTTTATTAACTTTCACTACGTACCAAATATCAATGAAATATCTGAAGCCGTTCTGAAAATATTAATTAATTTCCATTTTTTTCCTAAAACTTCCAACACCCCGAGCACCCTGAGTTTTTGTAAGGAAACATTAATTTTTCATGCAGATTCACACCCTTAAATATTCGCATATCATTATACCTTGTATATTGGTTACCTCTATTATGACTCGAATAACATAATTTGAAGGTCAACTTCGCAAATTCAAACAGTAACGACCATTTGTGACCGTCCTGAGTGGTCAAACATTTGAGAAGTACACGAATAATGCTCCGGAAACTTGGCAACCACGCGTTTGCAGAAAAAAAAGTTTAAAACTTATAAGAAATCAAAAAACAAGTTTATTATTCACCTCTAATACCGCACAAATAATTATCTGAAGGTCAACTTAAAAAATTCAAACTGCAATACCAATCACCATAAGAATTTACATAAGAATCAGTCTTCAAACGTGAGGTCAGACAAAGTGGTCAAACCAGTGTGTCAAACTACAACGCCTGGAAACTTGGTAAGCACGATTTTTTCTATAAAAAGGTTTCCGAAAAAGTTACAAGATATCAAAGGAGGAGTTTATTGGTGACCTCTAATGCTCCCTAGATAATGACCTCAGATATCATCGGGATGTTATTTATTATCTAGCAGGTAGATTCAAACAGAAACCACCATTTTTGATAGCTGATTTTTAATCGCCGCGAAATTCTAGCTAGTAGTCAAATGACACGTGAGGTCGTATGGTCATAAGTATGCCAAGCTGCAATGTACAAGAACGTGTTGAAAATTTGGCAACCACGCACTTTTTCGACAAAAGACACCCACAAAAGTTTCAAGAAATCGTAAAAGAAACTTACTGGCGACGTCTAATACCCCTAGACAATGCCGTGAGGTCGTTTGGAGGTCAAATTCATGAATTCAAATTCAAATCAGTACGAGATTCTTCACAGGAATCAATTTTTAACACGCTTATATTAGCTTGGCCTGAATGTATGTAGGTATGTATACTAAGTGACATATAAATCCGAACACCCAGTTTAAATGGTTTTATTTGAATAAAATTTTGTATAAGTACTTAATGAAGCATAATAAGTAAATGACAAAAATTTCAAAATGATTGCACTGCTTTAAAGCCCTTTGACCTTTAATAATGTGTGGATGCACACTGATGTGCTACGCATTCTCCAACGCGCCTAGGCATGCTTCTGATCAGGTGGTCAATGTCCTCCTGTGGTATCTCATTCCAGGCAACCACCAACTCCTCTCGAAGTGCTTCTAGAGTCTGAGGAGGACGTTGCAAATTGAGGAACCTCCTACCCATCATATCCCACACGTGCTCAATTGGGGATAAGTCGGGAGATCTTGGTGGCCATGGTAACAATGTGACATCATTATGTTGAAAAAAGTCTATTGTGACTCTTGCAGCATGTGGTCGGGCATTATCTTGTTGGAAAGTTGGATCTGCCAGGGTGTCAAGATAGGGTAAAAGATGGGGTTCTAGAACTTTGTGGATATAACGCTGCGCGTTCATGTTACCTCTGATGAAGACTAAAGGTGACCTGGAACCATAAGCTATAGCACCCCAAACCATAACTCCAACAGTGTGATGAACATGTCTTTCAACAAAAAACTGTGGATTCCTCCTTTCACCACGTCGCCTTCTAACCCTGGCACGACCATCGTGCATGCCTACACAAAATCGAGACTCGTCACTAAAGACAATAACTGTTCCATTCCTGATCCCAGAGTGACCGTTGTCTGCACAACTCAAGGCGATTACGTCGGTGTTCTCGAGTTAAAGGGAGGACCCAGTGTGGCCGGTATGAAAACAAGCCAAAACTTCTCATTCGTCGGTAATTAAACACTTCGCATGCCAATAGGTCTTCCGTGTTCTGCAAACCATTCATTTGCAATGGACCTGGTAGTGGAGAAACGGTCTCTTAAGGCCAATAATCTTAGGCGGCGATCTTCACGGTCTGTTGTTCTACGGCGTCGTCCAGTGCCCCTTGCTCTTTGCCTACGGCCTTCTCGAAGCCATGCCTGACAACACCTAACCACAGTGTCTACACTTCTTTGCACTCTAACTGCAATTGCCCGAAAAGAAGGTCCAGCTTCCCGAAGTCCCACTATACGGCCCCTATCAAACTCACTAAGTTGACGAAATCGTACAGGTCTCCGTACTCTAGGCATCGTAACCGATCGTAAAGGACGTCAAGAACCAAAATCCGCCAACGTTGATTCTTTACTGCGGCTGAAATATTCATTTTTAGAGCGTTAGTGAATTAAAAAAAAGCAGTATAAAAACCGGAATGTCCAACTGATAAGGCTGAAAATTTTTTCACTTGTTATTTACAGTAAGATAAATACATTCACCATCTTTTATTAAAATAAAACCATTTAAACTGGGTGTTCGGATTTATATGTCACTTAGTATATTTTGAATACTCTGTATTTCCGGACCTATGCTTATAGAAACGCGCTCTAAAATATCGCCGTCTATTTTTCAAACGCCCTGTATATTGCAGTGTCTTCGACAAAAAATAAGAATAATGACACTTGCGCCCTCCATGGACTTATCTCAATCCCCGCTCTTCAATTGTCACAAGGGTCGACCATGCTGATGAGTAGTCAAGAAGCACGAAACAACTGTTAATGGTTGGCTGTATTTTGGTCGGGCAGAGGAAAGCATCATGTTTTGTTTAGAAATACCAATCATTTAAAGTGCCCCCGGTAGGATCTTAAGTAGGGACAAGGTATATCCTTGGTATTTGGGGAAAGCATTCGGGGCCTTACGATGCAGATGCAGCTAAAGCGGCCGGACGAACGGTCTCGCCAGCTCAGCGCCGCGCGCCGCTCCAAATCTCGGGGATCCACAGGGAGCTTAATCCCATCGGCTTACCGCGCTCTGTATAGTCCACTACTCGCTAATCCCGGCTGCTCTAATCCACCCCCGGCTGACCAGCGTCTTAACTAGGGCTCATACAGACTTCCGATCCTTTGTTCTGCCCTTACCGCCAACGCCAACGGTTGGATTCTGCTACCAGCCCGCTAGGGTGATCAATAATGCACCCTTATTATTAATAAGACTCCCGATGTACTTCTACCTACCAGGAGCATCGATAAAATATTCTTGTTCGTTATTTTTTCTTCTTCCTCTCTATACAGCGTGTTCCTTAATCATATGCGAATATTTAAG